CCCTCCTGAGCTCTGTACCCAAGCTTGCTCAGCTGTATCATCCCTCTGTACTTTTTTTTTTTTTTGCATGTGCTGTTCTCCTTATATGTCTTGTGCTCTAAATGTTCATCAAATTAAATCTGTTGTTCTACAACAGATTACTCCCCAAATTTAACAGATTGAAACAGCAATAACAATTTATCTTCATTTCTATGGGTCAAGGATCTGACACAGTCTCATGAAGTTGTAGTCAAGTTGTTGGCTTGGGCTGCCATCATCTGAAGGCTTTTCTGTGGCTGAAGGATTCACTCTCAGGGTGATTTCCAACATACCCAGCCAGTTAGTGTTATTGTTGGCAGGAAACTATAGTTTCTGTCTGTATAGAGCTTCTTGAGGGTCTTCACATAATAGCTAACTTCTCCCAGAGTCAATGATCAAGAGAAAGCAAGACAGAAACTTGGCGTCTTTTAAGACTTAGCCTCAAAAGTCACATCATTTCCATAAGGTTCTATTTTGTAAGGAGGGGACTACACAAGGATGTGTATCAGGAGGTGAGGCTCACTGGGGGTTATCTTGATGCCCTTATCATGCATTCCTACTCTACTAACTGTAACAAACTCTTTGAAGATCCAGCACAAGTTCATCACTGTTGGAAAGCCTTTTCTAATCCCTTGTGTCCCCTGTATCTAGTACTTTCTAATCCTTCTAAATTAGTTATTAGTTTACATATCTGCCATTTTGTTTCATGAATAAATAGAAAAGAAACCAGAATGAAGAATTTGTATTAGGTATATGGTTAATGCAGCCCCTTAAGGTCTAATTAAAAAATGCTGCCCTGGCAGGTTTTGCTCAGCAGTTAACGTGTTGTCCCTCGGACCAGAGAGCCCCGGGTTCAGATCCTGCTAAGAGTACATACCTTGGTTGCAGTTTGTCCCCGGCCCCGGTTGGGGTCATGTGGGTGGCAACCACTCAATGTGTCTCTCTCACATCGATGTTTTTCTCTCTCTCTTCCTCCGTCCCTCCCTCCTGCTCTATCTGAAGGTAAATGCAAAAATGTCCTTTGGTGAGGATTAAAAAAAAAAGAAATCCTAAAATAGCCCAGCTGGTGTAGCTCAGTGGATTGAGCACCATCCCACAGACTGAGAGGTCCCAGTTTGATTCCTGGTCAGAGCACATGCCTGGGTTTCGGGCTCAATCCCCAGAAGGGAGGCAGGAGGCAGCCGATCAATGTTTCTCTCTCACATCGATGTTTTTCTCTCTTTCTAAAAAAATCAATAAAAACATAGTTTAAAAAAATTAAAAGAAAAAATAAATGCTAAAATATTCTACCACAGATGTAGGACCACTTAGGAAATATGAATATGTAAAATATTTTAAGTAAAAATTATCAATATGCAATGAATCTATTTGAAAAATTATTTTTGAAGATGAAGAAATGTTTTAGGAAATATAAATTGTATAAAATAAAAATAATTAGTATTGATCATTACCTTCCTTGGTGTTAAAGATTTCAGATAGGCCATATGCTTGGTGATTTCTGTGCTTTGATTTTGATGACTAAGTTGAAAAAATACTTTCAGAAAAGGTCAACATTTTCTTTATGGATTCTATTTTTGCTTCTTAAAGCCAAGATATATTCAATTTAAATATTGATTCTAAATTAAAGTGAAGAGTTTTCTCATTTTCTTTGAGATTGTTTTGGTAATTCAAAAATGGATTCAAAATCCACAAATTTCCAAATTCAAGCTGTGTTCTAGTACTTTGGAGCTATCCACTATTTAAGAAAATTTTTTTTTTTTTTTATCATCCTCACCCGAGGACATTTTTCCGTTCTTTGTTCAGGTAGAGTGGGAGGGAGAGAGAGGAACAGAGAGAGAGAGAAACATCGATGTGAAAGGGACACATCGAGTGGTCGCCACCCGCACAACCAACTAGGGCTGGGGACAAACTGCAACCGAGGTACGTGCCCTTAGCAGGAACCGAACCCGGGTCTCTCCGGACCGCAGGCCGATGCTCTACCACTGAGCCAAACCGGCCAGGGCAAGAAAATATTTTTTTTAGAAAAATCTTCACCGAAGATATTTTTAATGATTTTAGAGAGAGAGAAACATCGATGTGAGAGAGAAGCATCAGTTGGTTGTCTCTCATATGCGCCCCAACTGGGGACCAAACCTGAATCCTAGGTATCTGCCCTGACCAGCAATTGAACCGACAGTCTCTAGGTGTATAGGATGACACTCCAACCAACTGAGCCACACTGGTCAGGGCAAGAGTACCTTTATGTGTTCATAAAAGATTCTCACAGGGCATCTCATTCAGATCTAAATAATAATTTATAATGAGTCTCTTAGGTGCTTTATCCAAATTTTTAACTTTTAGAAAAGTTAACCAAATTAAAATTTTTTTTATTGAGTGACTATTTCAGAAATTAAAGATAATGCTTTGAAGACTTATATTTTCCATTGTAATTGAACATTTATTTGATAAAACTGTGCTTTATGTTTCCCCATTGCAAAACACATTTAGCTAAGTGGTTATATGGTAAAAAATAATTTCACATTGTTAACTCAGTCTTCTAAAACCTTTCTCTGGCCAGTGATGAGCATTCAATAGGCTTTATGAGATGGGCTCAAATTCACTAATTTAGGAATAGGAAACTAAAAAGATCAGCCATCAGCAAGCACATAACAATCTCACTTCTTTCAGATGAGTTGGGGCATTAAGAAAGCTCTCTCTGAGTTGAGTAATTTCAGCCTGCTGTTGATGCTAGTTTTGAGAAGCTACAGGCTTGTCACTTATATGGCATTTGGTTCTTGGAGCAAAAGATCAAAGAGAGGCTTAATGAACTTAATGAATTCCTATTTACCTGCTTCTGTTTTAAAAATAACAATATACCCTCTTGACTGGTTAGCAAATTTAGAAAAGTTTTTTACGTGGTGTTTTTTATCCCAACACTGCTAATTTCCCTGGAACCCATTTACTTAGATTACCTCTGGCCCTCTCTGTCCTCACAAATAGTAAACCCCTTCTTCTTGCTTTCTTAGGCCTAATAACCTCTTAGTAGCTGGTCATTTTTCATTCCTGGTTTGTGGCACAACTCTGATGCCAGTTTCTTTTATCCTCAAGTCTCTTAAAACTCTCCTTCCTAGGGCTAGTAGGTCAGCTCATTCTAAACCTGTTCAGAGATGTAGCTTTATGTAACCATTGTTGTATGGTGTCTGCGTGGTGACTGGAAAATAATAAAATAAGGTTTAAGTACAGGTGCAGATGTTGCAGTTCACAATGATAAAAGTATATTTTATTACTTAAACAAGAAGATTATACAACTTCTTTTCCCCACCCTGAATTGACTCTCATGGAACAAAGGTTGCTCACCATGGAACTTGACTTCTGTATAGCGTTCTTCAGTATCAACTAGGAAATGCATGTACATACACCTCATTTTTTACTCAGCATTGTAAACATTCATGACTTCAGAGCATTGTTTGTAACAAAATTTACTTTTGTACTAATTACATAAAAACCTGTTTTAAGTACTATTACTGGTTTTTGCTGCCAAAACATTGGATATTTGATATTTTGTCTTAGAGAACCTCTTTAGTTTTAGCTTCAACAAGCATACCTGCCAGTTGTGCTGAAGCTTCTTATTCAGAGATTAATGTGATGTCTTTAATAAAGAATTTTACTATAAGGAATAACTTTATAAATATTTCAAAATAGTCTTTTTAATAAGGAACTTTAGTATCACTAGTTTTCATATTTGAATGATAATAAAAATATTTAAAGGAATGGTTGTATTCATGATTAGTTGATTTGATCTGTGTGACAAAACATTTGAAATTTTAAGTTTTCAATCTTCATGGTCTGTAACTTCATTGGAAAGAAAATACTTTGTTCCTTGACAACATTTTGAAAATCAATTAGATACATAAACTTTATAAGGTTTTTAAAAATGTATTTTAAGCATCAGTTATACTTCATTTTAAGATTGGGGGTTGAAAAGATCTATTTTTTTTGTCATTCTCACTATCCTTTCAGATTGCTGAAATTTTTATTGCTTCAAATTCTTCTAGTCCAGTCAGAGTTCATGAATGACACATTGAGATGCAGATAAGTACTTGGTTTATCAGAAGAAAACTTGACAAACCAAACCAAGTAGTGCCTCCTTTTTGTCCAGTTATTTAAAATTATTTTAAATCATTTATTGTTGTTCAAATGAATACACTAAATACATCTTCAGACTTAAACTTATAGTAGTTAACATGAATTGACTTCTCAAAGAGATGGAACAAATGACCTTTCACCCAAGAGACAATTGAGAATTCCTACTCATAGCAACTATACAGTCAGAGTGTAATTAACCTTGATTCTGATCTGAATGATTGGCTGACTAGCTTATGTCCTTACTCTCAAATAGGGAACTAGAAAATTATACTATGGGCTGATGTTTCCAAGAATACTTCCGAGAGATATGTCTTAAAGTCAATGTGTTAAAAAAAAAAGTTCAGACTAGCTCAGTTGGTTAGAGCATCATCCCAGTATGCCAAGGTTGTGGGTTCGATCCCCGGTCAGGGCACATAAAGAATCAGCCAGTGAATGCATAAATAACTGGAACAAAACACAGTTTCTCTGTCTCTCCCTCCCTCTGCCATCCCTTCCCCACTCTCTCCCTAAAATAAAAAAGTTAATTAAAAGAAAGAAAATATGTGCAGGCAAATGAAATACCATGATAAAATAATTTATTTTAGGTTCTGATCACTTTTGTTCTTTGAATTCTCAGTTGACTGGGTCTTTTAAGGTAAGATCCAAATTCCAGATTTAAAAATTACACTAGAGTTTCAAGGATGCTAGGGACTGAGCTGAAAAATAGAAGACATGAAAATGCCCAGTTTTTTAATGCATTGTCATTTTAATTAAATTCTTTTGGGTGCTCTTTAAAGGCCTCCCCTGTCCCTTTATCCTTTATTTTAGGAAAAACTTTGTCTTATGGAGTGATGTTCGATCCCATTTATCTCCTATAGCTCCTGAGTATTGGTGTTCCATCGCTTACTTTGAAATGGATGTTCAAGTAGGAGAGACATTTAAGGTTCCTTCAAGCTGCCCCATTGTTACTGTTGATGGATACGTGGACCCTTCTGGAGGAGATCGCTTTTGCTTGGGTCAACTCTCCAATGTACATAGGACAGAAGCCATTGAGAGAGCAAGGTATTGATTGTATAGTTATTTTAAAAGGTGGACACAGTACATTGTCTTTCATTCAAAATTATATTTCTTGATGTAGATTATGTGTGTTTGGGAAAAAAGAATAAAAGTCATCTTAAAAATTCAGAATAGTGCCCTGGCCAGTTTGGCTCAGCGGTTAAAGCGTCGGCCTGCGGTCCAGAGGGGCCCGGGTTCAGTTCCCGCTAAGGGCGCGTACCTCGGTTGCAGTTTGTCCCCAGCCCTGGTTGGTCATGCGGGTGGCAGCCACTCGATGTGTCCCTTTCACGTCAGTGTTTTTCTCTCTCTCTCTCTTCCCCTCCCATTCTATCTGAACAAAAAATGGAAAAATATCCTTGGGTGAGGATTTAAAAAAAAATTCAGAATAGTAAGCTTTCCACTTGAATTGTAGATGTTTGTTATTTGAAATATGATAAAAAATGTTCTTTTTTACATTTATTTATTTATGTATAGTTGGTATACAATTTTATATTGGTTATATTAGTTTCAGGTATACAGTATAGTGATTCAACATTTTTATACTTTACAATGTGATCACCCATTAATTGTAGTAGTCAGTCATCTCACTGTGTAAATGTATCAACTGTATTAACTAAATTTTCCTTCCTCTTTTCACCCATCTCCCTCCCCCCTCCCCTCTAGTGACCATCTCGTTGATCTCTGTTACTATGAGTCTGTTTTTGTTTTGTTTTGTTTTTCGATTCTGCATTTAAGTGAAATCATATGGTATTTGTCTTTCTCTGCCTGATTTACTTTACTTAGTGTAATACCCATGTTGTCGCAAATGGCAAGATTTTATTCTTTTTTGTTACTGCATAATATTCCATTGTGTATGTATACCATACACATCTTAAATCTTCTTTAAGATTTTTTTTTTTTTTGTAAGTGAGGTTTCTGTTTGTTTTTTGTTTTTTTAAGTATGTTTTTATTAATTTTTTTTTTTAGGGAGAGAAATATCCATGTGACAGAGAGACATCAATTGGCTGCCTCCTGCACGCCCCCCACTGGGGATTGAGCCTGCAGCGGGCATGTGCCCTGACTGGGAATCAAACCAGGACCTCTCAGTCCATGGGAAAATGCTCAGTCCACTGAGCCACAGCAGCCAGGCAGGGTTTTTGTTTTGCATAGTAACTAGACCTTTTGGACTCTATTTTGAAAACATTTTTATTTCCTCTGATCATATATTATTTCTACACATCTACTGAAAGGAAATAATATAAAATAAAGATAGGTTGTCTGGCCAGTGTTGCTCAGTAGTTGAGCATCGACTCATGCACCAAGAGGTCACCAGTTCAATTCCCAGTCAGGGCACAAGCCCGGGTTGTGGGCCTGGTCCCCAGTGGGGGCATGCAGGAGGCTGACAGTTGATGTTCTCTCTCACTGATGTTTCTCTCTCTCCCTCTCCCTTCCTCTCTCTCTCTGTAATATCAATAAAGAAATAAATAAATAAAGACATGTTTCTGCAGTTAATTATACTATTAGAAAACAATAAAAGGGAAATGGTTAAGTAAATGTTGATAAACTTTTATTTTTTTATGTAGTCATTAAAATGTTAATAAAAATTTATATAATCAAATGTAAATGTTTAAGATGAAATATAGGAAAACATGCACAATGTTAAGTACTGTGTTATCTTAACTCCTTAAGAAAATGGGTGCATGTGTGTGTGAGAGAGAGAGAGAGAGAGAGAAAATAATCTCGGCTCTATCACTAGCTGTGTGTCTTTGGCAAATTACCTACTCTCTAAGCCAGTGCTAATAGAATTTTCTGTAATGAAGGAAATGATTTGTATCTGTGTTTCCAGTACAGTAGCCACTAGCCACATGTAGCTGTTGAGCACTTAAAATGTGATTGTGATTAACTCAATTTTAAAATTATTTTTAATTAATTTAACTTAAATAGTCATTTGTAGCTAGTGGCTATCAGTTTGGATGCTGTATCTATAAGCTTTAGTTTCGTCATTTATAAAATGGGAATACAGTCGGCCCTCGTTTATCGTGGTTAATCAGTTCCAGACTCTACCGCGATAAATGAATATCCTCAAAGTAGGATTCTTTAATTATACACAGTCGTCCCTTGCCACTTCATGTTTCGACTTTCGCATCTCCAAATTTTTTTATTTATTTTTTATCCTCACCCGAGGACATTTTTGCATTTTTTGTTCAGACAGAGCGTGAGGGAGAGAGAGGAAGAGAGAGAGAGAGAGAAACATCGACGTGAAGGGACACATCGAGTGGCTGCCACCCGCACGACCAACCAGGGCCGGGGACAAACTGCAACCGAAGCACATGCCCTCAGCGGGAACCGAACCCAGGTCTCTCCGGACCGCAGGCCGACGCTCTAACCGCTGAGCCAAACTGGCCAGGGCGACTTTCGCATCTCAAGGGACTGTAGTAATATTTATTTAGCTCATTGAATTATGAGGATTCAATGAGAATTTATTAAATGTTCCTGACATGTAGTAAGTAAGCTTCATATATATACCCATCATTATTATATATGAATAAGATATTTAAAAAAGAAGGAAATAGCCCTGGCCGGTTTGGCTCAGCGGTTGGAGTGCCAGCCTGCGGACCAGAGAGTCCCGGGTTCGGTTCCCACTAGGGGCACATACCAAAAAAAGAAGGAAATATACAGAAACATTAACAATGACCATCTTTTGGTTATGGTGTTATATAAAGCCCTTTATTTTTTTTTAATTCTTCAATATTAGGTATGCTATATAATCTGAACTAATATATATATTTAAATACTTACCAAAATAAAATGTAATTCTCTTTTTCTTCCTAAGGTTGCACATAGGCAAAGGTGTGCAGTTGGAATGTAAAGGTGAAGGTGATGTTTGGGTCAGGTGCCTCAGTGACCACGCAGTCTTTGTACAGAGTTACTACTTAGACAGAGAAGCTGGGCGTGCACCTGGAGATGCTGTTCATAAGATCTACCCAAGTGCATATATAAAGGTTAGTGGAAGTTTTACTTAAATATTTCAGACTTGGGAGGCTCTGTTTGTTGTTTAAGGAGTGGAGATGGAGGTGGGAGGAGTAGAAAAATGTCTTTTTATGTATTAAATCTCAGAAATTGTTTATAAAATACATTTCCTTGGGGTATTTATTGACATGACTGGTTACCTAGTTTTGTGGTTGCATTTATGCCCTATTAGCAAATTTGTTAAACATTTTAGAATAATACACAGGCTCTTGAAAATATTGAGTGAAATTACCAAACACATTTCTTTGTTACAAAATATGTAAAATTTTGAAATTTCATCTTAGCTAGTCTTTAGGATTTTGTGAAAGGAATTTCTGAAAGTAATAGGTTTTTTAATTAACCTGAGAAGTGGAAAATTCAACACCAATTTTTTAAGGTTAGTTGTTTGTGTATTAAATGAGTTATTTGCTATATCATTTTTCAGAAATTAAGCCTAAGGTATTTTTATTAATTATTACATAGTCAGCTCATTTTAATTTTGTAATAAACACTATTTGAAAGAGAACTATTATAATTTGATAGCCTGAATATATATGTATATTTTAAATATGTTTTTATTGATTTTAGAGAGGAAGGGGGAGAGAGAGAGAAAGAAACATTGATCAGCTGCCTCCTGTGTGTGCTCTGACGGGGGTTTGAACTCACAACCCTCTGGTGCACAGGACGATGCTCAACCAGCTGAGCCACACCGGCAAGGGCTTATTTTTTATTTTTTACTCTTTGCTATTGTTGCTTCCTATGTAGCTATTTTGCCTTCGTCTGGAACCCAGGGACACATATCTTAGAACCAATTCTTATATTTAGAAGGTAGAAGGATTTCATCCCTTGAGGAAGTTGAGTTCTCATCCCCTGATACTCAGGGCCTGATTCTTGTTGCATAGATTTTTCTGATACTTATCTCTGCCATGGACAAGAATTTTATGCCTAGGTGCATTTCTGAATTAGCTGTCAGGTATTTTACCAGCACTTAATTCATGAGCAAATTCCCAGTTGTAGCCCTCAGAGAGTCTAGCCATTGTCTCTTTCCATATTTCTCTAAGACGAATTTCTGTCCTCTGCACCTTCTGTTTGTGGTTCTGGTACTCAAAGTACCTCCTATCTTTAGCCCTGCTCCACTGTGGATCCATCATCATTTGATAGACATGGGTTGTTTTCCACTTTTTAACTAGTATGAGAATGCTGCTATGAACATTCATACAGAAGTTTTTAGGTAAATGTATGTTTTCATTTCCTTGGATATATAACTAGGAGTGGAATTGGTGGCTCATAGGTAACTCTATGCTTTACTTTTTGAGGGACTGCCTGACTGTTTTCAAAAGTGGTGATGCCATTTACATTTCCATCAGCAGTGTATGTATGTGGATTTCAGTTTCTCTACATTCTCATCAACAATTGTTATTATCTTTTTTATTTTGCCTTCCTAGTGGATGTGAAGTGGTATCTCATTGTGATTTTGATTTACATTTCCCTAATGTTTAATAATGTTGAATATGTTTTCATGTGCTTATTGGCCATTTGTATATCTTCGTTGGAGAAATGTCTGTTCATATCTTTGCCCATTTTTAATTGGGTTGTCTTTTTATTACTGAGTTGTAAGAATTCTTTATATATTCTGGGTATCAGTCCCTTATCAGTTACATAATTTTCAAATAATTTTTTTAGTTCTTTGGCTTATTTTTCATTTTCTTGATATGATTTGCAGCACAAAAGTTAATTTTGATATTATTAAGTTGATCTGTTCTTTGAATACTTGTGCTGTTGGTGTCATGTCTAAGAAACTATTGCCTAATCCAAGGTCATGAAAATTTACTCCTGTGTTTTTTCCTAAGAGCTTTATAGTTTATGCTTTTACATTTAGGCCTATGATAAATTTTCAATTAATTTTTGTGTGTAGTTTAAGGAGATTGATCCACCTTCATTCTTTTATGTGAGAATATTCAGTTGGTCAGCAACCATTTTTTGAAAAGACTGTTCTTGCCCTTATTAAATTATCTTGACACCCTGATTGAAATTAAATTGACGTTAGGGTCAAGGCCTATTTCTGTATTATCAATTTATTTCATTGATCTGTATATCTATCCTTATGACAGTATTACTCTGCCTTGATTGCTATAGCTTTGTAGTAAGTTTTGAATTGGGAAGTGTGAGTTCTCCAGCTTTGTTCTTTTTCAGGGTTGTTTTGGCTATCGCCACTCCCTTGTATTTCCACATGAATTAAATGATTGGCTTGGAGAATATATATTTTTAATAGTTTTTCTGTCCTTTGTATGTATTTGGAGCAGAGAGAGAAGGTGGTTATGCATACCTACTCATCCATCTTGACTGGAAGTCTTGGATTACTTGTGTAATTTGAAGAGAATGGACAGAGCATTACAATGTTGAATATATGTGCTAGACAGTAGTTATGAACTTATCAAATTTGGGGTAGTATTTAAAACATTTGAGTTTAAAAAAATGTGGAATCTTGTATAATTAATTTCTAGGATTGTCAAATTAAGTGTAACATCTCTACTTTGGTATAAATGACCCTTTAAAAGCCCCCAAGGTATGAGACATGCCATTACTTGATAAACTACTGTTATGGATAGATTTTTATGGTAATCTCAAGCTTTTACCATGAACAATAAAGAACTATCTTGTGGGACATTTTAGTGGAGTAAAAAACATCTCATTTTTGTCATAGTAACTAAGATAAAAAAATAATTTCTGTTTGCCAAGTATGTTTCTGTTCTTCAGAAGAGCCTTCTTATTAGCCACAAAGAATGCTAAATCTAACATTGGTATTTTCTTCATTTGCTAATTTTTGGGGCAGCAGTAACTAAAGAATCCATTTAGGTTGTCGGATATATTCTCATCGGAGATGATATTACTGGGGTGAATTTTATGCAGATAGCATGAAGGAGTGCCCACACACTGGGAATATACCCCCAACCCCCCAATACACACACAAATACATTTTTCCCTTTTTAACACATTTTTGACCACTCACGAGTTAACACGTGTTTTCCTGCCCAAATGTTGCGGACCACGCACGAGTTAGCTCGGGGTTTGCACTTGCATTAGCTATTTCAGTTTTTGAAACTCGGGGTAATATAGGATTATTGTATTTGTGACTCTTCGCCCTGAGGATTGAAGTTTGAAAAACAGCACACCGTTCTATATTCTTGAAGTAACTAGGGAATGGATATCTGCTGGTTCAAATGACTGCAGCTCAGAGCCTAACATTCAGTTTGCCCAAAAACATGCGGTCCCTGGCGTATGTCTTAGAGATTTCTATGCAGTACGCAATGTGTTAATTTCTATATTCTTGAAGTAACTAGGGAATGGATATCTGCTGGTTCAAATGACTGCAGCTCAGAACCTAACGTTCAGTTTGCCCAAAAACATGCGGTCCCTGGCGTATGTCTTAGAGATTTCTATGCAGTACGCAATGTGTTAATTAAACTGAGGAAAACAAGTTTGGAAAATCATTCTTTTTAGTTTACAAACCGAGAAACTAGAAATAAATTGTGGGGTTTTTTTCTTCTAAGATGTTGATTTTCTTCCTGCTTCTGTCATGACATAGTATCATTCATCTTACATTTATGAAAATCTGATTTAATGAAATGACATTTCACAAGCTTTAAATGAAGCAAATGTTTGAATTCTCGTTTTAGTGGCCTTGCTCTTTTGCTTTCAAAAGTAGGTAATATCTGTTTTGTTTAGTGTTGCTTAGCACTGGGCTCTCAGGTTTTTTTAAAGCTTTGTTGGGATATTGAGATAAAATTCATACCATAATCCATTTAAATTCAGTGATTTTTTTTTTTTTTTTTTTATCCTCATCTGAGGACATTTTTCCATTTTTTGTTCAGATAGAGCGGGAGGGAGAGAGAGGAACAGAGAGAGAGAGAAACATCGATGTGAAAGGGACACATTGAGTGGCCGCCACCCGCACGACCAACCAGGGCTGGGGACAAACTGCAACCGAGGTACATGCCCTTAGCGGGAACCGAACCCGGGTCTCTCCGGACCACAGGCGGACGCTCTAACCGCTGAGCCAAACCGGCCAGGGCTAAATTCAGTGATTTTTAGTATATTCACTGAGTTGTGCAGCCATCACCACAATCACTTTGAGAACATTTTCATCACCCCAGAAAGAAACCCTGTACCCTTTAACTATCACCCGCAAACCCCCATTTGCCCAGCCCTAGACAACCACTGATCTACTTTCTCTCTGTATAGATTTGCCTTTTCAGAATATTTCATATAAATAAAATCATATACTGTGACTTTTTTCACTAAGCATAATGTTTTCAAGCTTCATTCATGTAGCATATGTGTGCATTTCATTCCTTTTTATGGCTCAGTAATATTTCATATACCACATTTTGTTTGTCCATTCATCAGTTGATGGACATGGGTTTCCACTCTTTGGCTATATTATGAATACTGGTATGAACATTTGTGTACAAATTTTTGTGTGAATGTATGTCTTAAAATCCTAAATGATAACATAGGAGAAAACCTAGATGACCTGGGATATGGCAATGACTTTTAAAAATGTGTGTTGTTGTTAATCCTCACCTGAGGACATTTTTTCCATTGATTTTTAGAGAAAGTGGAACAGAAGGGGGGAGGGGGAGAGAGAGAAAAACATTGATGTGAGAGAGAGACATCAGTTGGCTGCCTTCCACTGAGGTTGGGGATCGAACCTGCAACCCTCTGGTGTGCAGACCGACACTGTTATCACTGAGCCACACCAGCTAGGGCAGGCGATGATTTTTAGATACAACACCAAAGGTATGATCCATGAAAGAAATGATCAATAGACTGGAGTTCATTAAAATGTAAAACTTGGGCTCTGTGAAAGACAACATCAAGAAAATAATAAGCCCTGGCCAATTTGGCTCAGCGGTTGGAGCGTCGGCCTGCGGTCCTGAGAGACCTGGGTTCGGTTGCAGTTTGTCCCCGGCCCTGGTCAGTCGTGCAGGTGGCAGCCACTCGATGTGTCCCTTTCGCATCGATGTTTCCCTCTCTCTCTCTTCCTCTCTCTCCCTCCCACTCTGTCTATACAAAAAATGGAAAAATGTCCTCGGGTGAGGATAAAAAAGAAAATAATAAAATAAGCTACAGACTGGGAGGAAATATTTGCAAAAGACACATCTGATAAAGGAATGATATCTAAAATATAGAAAACTCTTAAAACTGACCAAGATTAAAAAATCAACCCGATTAAAAAATGGGCAAAAGCCCTGAATAGACACCCCACTGAAAAGATATACAGATAGCAAGCAAGCATATGAAAAGATGTTCAGCTTCATATATCATTAGGGAATTGCATATTAAAACAACAAGATACCACTACATACCTAGTAGAATGGCCAGAATTCAAAACACAACCCCAAATGCTGACAAGGAAATGGAGCAACAGGAGGTCTCATCATTGCTGGTGGGAACGCAAAATGTCACAGCCAGTTTGAAGGACAGTTACATAGCTAAATATACCCTTACTATATAATCAACCAGTCATGCTCTTTGGTATTTACCCAAGTGAATTGAAAACTTAAGTCCAAAGAAAATCCCGCGCATGGATGTTTATAGAGCTTTATTCATAATTACTAAAATTTGGAAGCAACCTAGATGTCCTGGATAAATAAACTATAGGACAGTCACACAATGGAATATTAAGAACACTAAAAAGAAATGAGCTATTGATCCATAAAAGGACCTAGAGGAGCCCTGGCTGGTTTGGCTTAGCGGTTAGAGCATCAGCCTGCGGTCCGGAGAGACCTGGGTTCAGTTTCTGCTAAGAGCATGTACCTTGGTTGCAGTTTGTCCCCGTTCCCGGTTCGGTTGTGTGGGTGGCAGCCCGTCATTGTGCGATCTTTCTCTCTCTCTCTTCCTCTCTCTCTCTCTTCCTCCCTCTCTCCCTCTCACTCTCTATGAATGCAAAAAGTGTCCTCAGGTGAGGATTAAAAAAAAAGACATGGAGGAACCTTATCCCATAATTCTAAGTGTCTGATTCCAACTCTGTAACAGTCTAGAAAAGACAAAACTATGGAGACAAGAAAAAGATCAGTGGTTTTCAGGGATGGGGGGGGGCAGGGAGGATGAATAGGGAACAAGCACAGAGGAATTTTAGGGCAGTGAAACTACTCTGTATGATACTACAGTGTTGGATACATGTCATTATACATTTGTGCAAACCCACAGAATGTACAAAACCAAGAGTGAACCCTAATATACACTATGACTTTGGGTGACAATGACATGTCAATATTGGTTCCTTGATTGTAACAAATTACTATTGTAGTGTGGATTGTCAGTAGTGGGGGAGATTGTACTTTACTTTTTGCTCAATTTTACTATGAACCTAAAACTGTGCCAAAAAGGTAAAGTTTTATTAGCTTTTTTCTTTAAAAATGTGGTTGTAGAGCTATTTGGCTTTGCAAATATTTCAGTCCTTCCTTTCAAGAGGCCATAGCCCAGTGGAAAGGTTCAGATCTAATAGTCTCTTGGGAAATCTTAAAAACACAGTGGTTCCTATTCAGGGCATTGTGGAATTTCTGGTTTCCATATCTGATTTTGTCATGCTTTCTGTCCTGAAGTCTTTTAGGACTAATAATTTGACCAGGTAATACATAAATACATATTTGGCAAATTCATATCTCTTTAGAGAATGAGATGGTCTTAATTTTGCTCAATGCTAGAAAATAGGCATTGAGTAGAGAAATAAGTAAATAGGAATGTGATTTGCTAATTTGAGAATGTTTTGTTTATGGATTGTATGAATATAATGGTTAAAGACAATCAGAAGTTATTTAGGCATCTGAAAACTATTGGTTTTGGTTTCAAACCTGTTTATCTGATTTTTTTTATTGTCAGAATAATTATGCTTGCTCGTATTTAGGTATTGTGCATACTAAGAGAGAATAAGGAATATGGTCACATGATTCAGAAACTGAAATGATATAAAAAGTTTGCCTTGAGTAGCCTTACTTTTACTCTGTCCTTGTCATCCTTTCCTACACTCTGCTTTTGTAATCTTCCAGTGCTTTGTTTAATGCAAATATAAGCAAATACTTATTTTAGGAAATTGGTTTGTTCTCTAGAAAAAAGATGATGTGATCATCATCCATAATTTCAGTTGCTTACTGAAAGAACATTCCAATACTTTCATAAGGCTGAGGATATAAGTGGCAACCCCTTTCTTATTATGCCAGCTCTTGGCATGGCTGAAAAAGAACACTGGAATTATTTATGAACTCCTTAACTCATCCTGGAAGATCAGTGGCTACAGAGGCGGCCAAAAATAAATTAAGTAACATTTATTGACAATTTACTGTATACTACACAAAGTTTACAACCCTATGAAAAAGCATGTACACTTATCATACCCATTTCATAGATAAGAAAATTGAGATTGCAGAGAGGTTAATAAAGAACCTATGTAATTAGCAGATATCAGTAATAGTGTTCAAAGCTAAGCTTTTTAAAAAAATGATCAGCATTTTAAAAATACAGAAAACTAGCCCTGGCCGGTTTGGCTCAGTGGTTAGAGTGTCGGCCTGCGGTCCCAAGAGACCCGGGTTCGGTCCCCGCTAAGGGCATGTACCTCGGTTGCAGTTTGTCCCCGGTCCTGGTTGGTCGTGTGGGTGGCAGCCACTCGATGTGTCCCTTTCACATCGATGTTTCTCTCTCTCTCTCTCTTCCTCTCTCTCCCTCCCACTCTATCTGAACCAAAAATGGAAAAATGTCCTCAAGAGAGGATTAAAAAAAAAAAAAATACAGAAAACTAGAGAGAAACTAGTTTAATGAAATTCCATTACCCATTACTGAGATTCATTAGTTAAGATCTTACATTTGCTTGGTCTAGCCTTTCTTCTTTGTTTTGTTTTTTTCCCTTTTCTTAAATTGAATTTAAATGCATTTTCTTTGTTTCTTAAGTATTTAAAACAAGTCCTAAATATCATGCTATTTTGCCCTTATGTATTTTAAATCCGCATCTCTTAAAAATTCAGGGTTTTTAAAAATATATAGTGACAATGCTATTTATTACATTCCTTTGAATAGCTAGAATGATAAAGAAAAAAAGTTGCATATATGACCAAGGTCATCAGTTCAGCCTAAAGAAAACTCACAGTTTGTTTTGAAAGGGTCCGGGAGATTTCTTAACTTTATTTTACACAAAGGGGTCATTTTTTTTCACAGGGACAATAACACTGACCCACACTGAATTAGATCAAGGATACAGAGGCATGTGGCAACCACAGCTGTCCTGTTAGGAAAGGCTATCTTTCCCAACTACCTATTATAGTATACGTAAAGACGTAAATTTTCTTATTACTTTTTTTTCTTGAGAGCTAAATGAAGCTGTACATTTTAAATAAATTGTGTATTGATTTTGATGTATGGGATCTTTTCTGATGGATGTATAACATTAAATGCATACTTTTTTTAAAGGTCTTTGATTTGCGTCAGTGTCATCGGCAGATGCAGCAGCAGGCGGCCACTGCACAAGCTGCAGCAGCTGCCCAGGCAGCAGCCGTGGCTGGAAACATCCCTGGCCCAGGATCAGTAGGTGGAATAGCTCCAGCTATCAGTAAGTATGCTTTTGGTTTTTTGTTGTTGTTTTTAAGTGTAATGGTTGGTGTTTTATCTTGATTCACTCATTTGATTAGTTACTTTAAGCAATAATAGAAATTAAAGTTCTCTTTACTGGGATAACATTTTTGAATTTATTAAAAACCTGTTCTTTTGTAATATTTGCCCTTTGTCTAGGAACCTGTTTTTATTCTTTTTGTGTCAAAAGGGAGTATGGGATGAAAAAGAAAAGGGGTTATTGTTATATTATTGGTCATCTCCCCTTTTTTTGTTGATACTTTTAATTCCTACCTCACCAGCCAGGGTGGGTTGTTATCACTGACATGCTTGGCTTTATTCTGGAAGGAAAGCATATTTCAATTTCAGAATTAGGCACCTCCTTTTTTTTTTTAAGTATGCTAAGCATGGAGAGAAAACTAAGTGAGGGTGGTATTTTGATAACTTGTAGACTTTTTTTTAATTTTAGGGTAAAATTGAACTGTGTGCCAGGTTTCACACTGATGGGGAATTTTTTACTGCAGAGTTAAACTCCTGACTATAGACTTTTATGATGGAAACACGTGGCACCCATCTTCCACGTCTGAAGGCATAACTAGTGATTCATTCAACCCCTGTTCTTAACCTCTTCAGTGTGGTAAGCAAATCACACTGGCTAAGAAAACTGCAGTGGCCCTGCAGGTTTCTCTACAGTACATGCAAATTCCTCCCGTTAGTTTCATTGTAATATTGATGAATGCAGATTGACTATATGACTGTATGTTCTGACTGGAAAATTAGATACAGAGTCTCCATTGTGACTGATGTTCAGGAGTTTACAATTTAGAGATAGATAAGGCATATTCATTTAGAGAATTTGATTTTTCTAAAAATTCGGGCATCTAAATCATTAATTTGCTAGTTTTGATGTTATAAACATGCTTTTACTAAAGAATCCAGAAATATTATTAAATTTCTCATTCTTATTTATTGCCCTGATTGAGTTATTATTGCATATTGTGTGTTACACTGTGAAATTGAGAGACATCATCGGGGTCTTCCAAGAAGTTTTAATGGAACCAGGACTATCAACTATTTCATTATTAGTCGTGTCTTACTCTGAACTAGGCTGTGTAGACAGACAGGAAGGTTCTTAGAACCATTCTGTGGACATGCACTACTACCCATTAAAAACAAGTTGTTTTCTATCCCTTCACCTCCATTTCTAAAGAGAAAAATTGGTGGGGTGTTGGTAGATTGAAATAATTTACTTTATAATTGGTGGTAGCTAGATGACCCATGTGAAATGTAAATTGTCTTAACCAAAGTTTTCAGTCCCTGTTGATAAAATTTAGATCTGTACTTCTTGGCACTTTGACAGAGAATTATATGCTGGGGAGAATGAATTAAAGAAAGCTGGTCACTTTATTGTAAGATGTGGGGAGAATGAGAAGAGATCAGCCTGTTCCCCTGATGTCTTTCATATCTTTTCTGTTAGGTTTGTCAGCTGCTGCTGGAATCGGTGTTGATGATCTTCGTCGCTTATGCATACTCAGGATGAGTTTTGTGAAAGGCTGGGGACCCGATTACCCAAGACAGAGCATCAAAGAAACGCCTTGCTGGATTGAGATTCACTTACATCGGGCCCTCCAGCTCCTAGATGAAGTACTTCACACCATGCCTATTGCCGACCCACAACCTTTAGACTGAGGTCTTTTACTGTTGGGGCCCTTAACATTCATTATCAGGATGGTGGACTATAAAATACAATCCTGTTTGTAATCTGAAGATATATTTCACTTTTGTTCTGCTTTATCTTTTCATAAAGGGTTGAAAAAATATGTTTGCTGCCTTGCTCCTAGCAGACAGAAACTGGATTAAAACAGTTTTTTTCCTATTTAGAACTTTTTAGGCATGGCTCAGAGCTTGACGATCAGGAAAAATACATTCTTATTAAATTTACTTCACCAGTTACGTATGAAGGAATCATTCCAGTACTGGAAAATTTAGCCCTTTAAAATGTCTTGACCCTTTTATATGCAGAACATCGGTTTGTGTGTTATTCTACAGAATAAATTCAATATTGCTGATTTTAAAGGCAGAGAAGTTCTCAAAGTTAATTCACCTATGTTATTTTGTGTGCGAGTTGTTGTTGAGCATACTTTACTCCAAAATATTGTGCCATGTGGGTGAGTTAATTTTACCAAGAACAACTTTACTCTGTTTAAAAAATAAGATAGTAATGTATTATAATCTTTTATCCAAAATATTTTTTTTGCAAGTTAAACTAGTGAAGATGATTTCAATTCAGATTGTCTTGTGAGTTCGATTTTATTTTCACCAAGGCAAAACACTAATCTCTGTGTATACTGAGAATTCCTTAAAATTACCAGACAAAGAAATACCATTTACAGTTATACTTGTTATCCCTGTTGGATAACTATCGAGTAGAATACTTTTGCCCTGTTAAACAGTAGATGTATTCTTCTATATTTCTAGGCACAGGGTTGGTTACTAAGAAGCCTAGAAGAGTAATTTCTTTCCTTCATTAATTCATAGGGAAGGTTTTGTATTTTTAAAAACACTAAAAGCAGTGTCACTCCACCTAATATCTCACCATTCTGCAAAGGTGGCAGTGCTTAAACTAAATGATGAGTGTTTTGGAAACTGCTAAATTCTATGTTAAATACTGTGCAGAATAATGGAAACATTACAGTTCATAATAGGTAGTTTGGATATTTTTGTACTTGATTTGATGTGTGACTTTTTTTTTCATATACTGTTAAATCATGTATGTTATGACATTGTTTAAAATTCAGTTTTTGTATCTTGGGGCAAGACTGCAAACTTTTTATACCTTTTGGTTATTCTAAGCCCTTTGTCATCAATGATCATATCAATTGGCAGTGACTTTGTATAGAGAATTAAGTAGAAAAGTTGCAAATGTATTGACTGTACCACAGACACAATATGTATGCTTTTTACTTAGCTAGTAGCATAAATAAAACCGAATCTCAACATACAAAGTTGAATTCTAGGTTTGATTTTTAAGTTTTTTCTTTTGCACTTTTGAGTCCAACTTCAGTGGCGAGACACCTTCTAGTAAATGACAGGCAACAGCCAGTACTGCAGCTTTGGTTTTTCCCTCACACTCTACTGGGACTTCCCCGTGGACATTATGTATCAAGTGTAGAGTTGGTTATTTTTTGAACTTTTATTTTACTGTAGCAAAAATAGGCCTAATTGTCTATAAGATAAATAGGTTGTCTACAGAATAAATAGTGTGAAATAAAATTAAGGAATATCTTTCAGGTGTTTTTACCTTTTGCTTGGAGGGCCTTTCTATGCATAGTAAGATTCTAAGGTGTGTTACAAGCACTTAGCATGATAGTCATCCTCATATTGACTTAGATGAACAAGTCTTCAACTTCCTTGCTTAGAAGATCATAAGATCACCCTAGAAACCACTGAGTTTGCTTATTGCTGTGATTTAAATATAGATCTTGGTCCAAGCTACATGGCTTTTGTTCTAAAAATACTTCTCTACCAACTCACTAGTACTCTTGAGTACTTACAAATACTTTTGTTAAAGACCTCATTTCCATCTATAAAAGTTTGGTGGTTTAAGTTTTATTGGCAGATTTTTAAAAAAGATATTATTTTGTAGAAATTACTGACAATAGGTCCATTTTACTGTGAATGAAGAGTAGGAGTGAGAGGAGTTTTAGAATGACAGATTTTTAAATCCTGATTATTTGATTAGAACCATAAGCATGCTATGATATAATCTATTGCCTCCCTTTCTACTTTAAGGAAGGTTTGTTTTCATGTTTTAATAAAACATGAAGTCTGGGTAATTATCTGGGGAAAATATTGTCTGAGAAGCCCGTCTTTGAGGCCTAGCCGCCTGTCTTGGTTGCTTTCTGCTAAGAGCCATAAAAATGCGTAGAAGTACTACTAGTTACTAATTGCTTTATATTTGTACCTAGATGCAGTCATATGCTTTGGAGAAAACATCTAGTATGTTACAATCAGTTATTCCTGAGAGCTTAGTTGTTAAATGGTATTTCCATTTCTTAAATGTAGTCATCTTTAATGAGTAAGACTAAATAATCACCAGGTTTAAATTGTTATGGCTACTTTAAGGGTAGAATAGTTTCTGCAGTTCTCAGAATCTGATTATTATGAGGGTATGGTACTGGGTGAGTTTTCTCAGCTAGTTCATATCTCAGAGACTTTGAAAATACTGAATTTCAGTGAAAGCTGAGTGAGAGATGAACCAAGTATGTACTTGATAATCCAGTATGAGGCCCATTCCACATTTGTCCAGTGCCTTTCATACCCAAAGGGAATCCCTAGTGGTGTTGCCTTTATTTTCCAGGGAGTAGATTATTCTGTGGGATATAGTCTAAATGTCTCATTTTTTTAAAGTATACTATACCTAGTATACAAAGATAATGACAATAAATCACTGCCATATAACCTTGTTTTTCAGAAGCATGGCTCATTTGTATTGACCTAACCACTAAATAGGTCTCCTGTCCCATTCCTCCTGTAAACATTGTAAGGTTTACAGGTTGGATGGTCTGGCTTAAGGATAACCATACTTGAAACATCCAAGTAAACAACATATATTAGCTGTTTTAAAAGTACATTTTTGTGGTGTAAAGGGAGATATTTGTAATAGAAATTTTGAAGGTAAAATATAATGTCCTGTCTTCCCCATGATAAATATTTTACTTTAAAAGTTCATTGCAGTTATCTTTTTTATTGTGCCCACCTGGAGAAGGGTAGTTTTACATTTTCCCAAGGTGCTCCTTCACTATCTGTGGAGGTTAAAGAATATAAGGTAAAATATTTCTGTTCTTGGTTTGGTGTTAACTGGTTAATAGTTACTCATTAGCTATTATGCAAAATCAGATTAGTTCAAATCCTTTTTGAGAGTCTTTTGGAAGAAGCAATTTTATTCTGAGTAGGGCAGAATCTTTTTTGTTCATAGTTTTTATAGTTTGCTTCCTTTATCATTGAGCCATTTACTGGCATTTTATTTAATAGCGAATTGGGAAAATGATAAAATTTAGGTCACTGAGGTTACATGAGTATATGAAAGCAATTGCCTGTAAAATCAGTTAACAACTCTTTTGTAGATGGGGCTTGGCAAAGACTAACAGATAATAGAATGAAGAAATGCATTCTTGTTCCTTCTGGAGGCAGACCCATCTTCTTGCAGATGGCTATCTGTAAATAATCGCCCCAGTCTTCCTTTGCAAGATTATAGAAATAGGCTATGAGAATCTTTTTGTGAAAGCCTTTCTATTTTTTTCTGACAGCTAGATAATGTCTTTGCTCTTAAGATATATCAGGAAGGATGTAAAAAGTTTGTGGCCTTATCAAGAGCAGCATCCTGGGGCCCAGCCTTGTCCCTAGCACTTATCCCAGTGTTACTAGGTTGTTTATCTTGTATCACTGAGGAATGGATTTTTTTTTTTTTTTTTTGCATAATCCAGACTTGCCTTATTTAAGCAGTAAAACTTTTTTATTTTAGCCATGTCTGATGGAATTATTTAATATGTATGTCAGAAAACATACTGGATATGTTTCTTTTTGTGCCTAGCTCTCTCTCTTGACTTCAGGGGTGGCTTAGACAGATAGGACTGTTGACTTTACTAAATGGTTGCAGACTGCTGTGGTTTTGAATGTTTAGTTTTTTTACCTCCCATCGTCTCCATTTCTGACATTGACCACTTCCTGTGCACCCCCTTATCATTTCTTCTTCCCTTGCTGATTCATTTTTTTCCAGCTGCTTGGGCAAGGAAACCAAATAACCAAACTTATTAATACTTTGTTTGAATACAGGGGCAGACTGGAACAGGACCCAGGAAACTTTCCTGTAAAGTATTAAAAGGGACCTCAGTGCTTTGGCATTTGATTGCTTAAGAGTACTTCCTGATTCTTGCTCAGTTTCAGGTAGTTGAGCTAGAGAGAAGTGAGTCATATTCATATTTTCCCCCTTTGCCGGATTTTGAAAGGTTTCATTGCTTCCACTTGAATGCTGCTCACATAAAAATTGGGGTTACAAGGGTTACTAAATTAGGTATCAATAGCCAGAGGCAGTACTCTTGCCAAGAGGACGGACACCAGCAAAACAGAACAAAACAAAAACAAATCTTGGAAAATGAGAGGATCACTTTGTTTCATTTTGGTGTCCCCTTTTGAGCCCTAAGTTCTGGCCTTCCTCCTTTACAGATATTTTTGACCTACAGGTGCCTTTATGAGAATTGAGAGTTTGATATCCTGCCCCAAGAAGTAGCTAAAGTAATTGCTGATGTTTTCAGGGATTTTGACATCAGACTTGAGTGAATGAATGAACCCTCTTTTTTTTTTTTAAACTGTAGGAAGGACTGAGGAGAAAACTCTGGTGAAGACAATCATTTCTCTCTTGATGTAGATGGTTTCAGCAGTTTATTTAAGCTGCTTTCTGAGGTCTCAGAGCCAGTGCTCTTGTTCAGTCTGAAACGAATGGCTCTGGCCTGGGACCAGACAATTGTCCTTTCTAGTTTGCGCTCTGCCACTAATTTGATGTATGACCTTGGGCAAGTCATTTACCTTCCTCTGGGCTTCAGTTGCCTCATCTGTAAAATGAGGGAGTTGGACTAGATGAGTTCTTCCAGCTCTGAAATGTAAGTGACCTTGCCTGCCTTGCAGCAGTGTTTGATTTCTCCTTACCTTTGCTCTGCTGTTTGAGGGGGCGTTTTTACTTATTTCCACGTTATTCCCATGAGACTAGGCTTGAGATTTTATTACTATTCTCCTATGGACAAGAAGTTACATAATATGTCCTTAAGACTTAAATTCAACCAAAGGCCTAGCACTACCTTGGGGGCTGCAATAAATACTCTAAACAAAAATGAGAGGGGGGTTAAAAACCTTCATTTTATTTTCCCATCATCTCTATTGAAGGTTTATTAAGGCTTTTTTTGAGTCATGACATTCTAACTTTGGGGTTGGTATGTGTGTGACATCGTCCCCTTAAGTGCTATGTGCTGGTAATTTTTTTTGTTATTCAACTAAAGTGGATTGAAAACATATTGTAAATGCCTAAAGATATTAGAGGTCATTAATTTGGGTCTTTGGTTTTTTAACTCTTCTATGCTTAGAACAGAGAAATTACTTTGAACTACATCAATTAAAATGGTTTATACAACTCAAGGAAACATATGGATAATCACTTATTCTTGGCTCTTTTTAGTCCATTTTGATTAGAAGACTCTTGGCTGGAGCATTTCATTCAGAGTTCTCTTCCACCCTATCCTTGAATGAGTGTAATTAATGAAGTTGGCTTTTACAAGGACCTTGAAAGCCTTCACTGGGGTTGGGTTGAGGGTGGGGGGTTGGGGAGTCCTGGTAGAGGCCAGCTCTGTGGTAGCTGGAGAGGAAGGGGTATAACCAGCTGCTGTTGCTATGGCTGCTTGTCATTGATAGAAGGACTCATGGGCTTGAATTGATTAAAAGGCTAAACATGGAGTCGGTAAACTTCCTCCAGGTATTGGGTTCTGGCCAATGCCTTGGACATGTGATTTAAGGGAAATGAGTGAGTGATTGTTGATGAAAATGTGGTGGGCTGCAGAACCATTTGGAGGAAGCGACTGGACTGGGATTGGAACGGTTTGGTGGTGGTGTTTCCCAACTCGTCTCCTCCCCTGAGCTCAGGAACGCAGCTATGCTAAAGCTCAGAGGAGAGCCACATGTAGCCTTTGCTGTTGGGAAAACTGGTCAGCTAAAGTTCTGGTAGTTCTTTGTGGCTTTCTGTATACTTTTTCCCTGGTTGAAGTCTGTGGCTAAAAAATAGTTAAACTTTTCCTGAGAACTCTGTAACAAAAGTATGTTTTTGATTAAAAGAGAAAGCCAATTAAATCATTATGTGCTCATTCTTTTTCTTAAGCTTGTGGATGTTGTGGATCTGGAAAGAGTTCCTAATCACAGACAATTCTCAAACTGGAAGATAATACTTTCCTGCATTGCTCTGTGACCACTGAAACGGGAAGTATGGCGTTTCAAAATATGTCCATGGAAGAACACCCCCATTCTTTTCTCATTTCTAAAAGGGGAGAGTGGAGCCATGCTGCTTGGAGGACATGTAGGCACTAGGGGAGACCCTGTCATTGCCCATCTAAGGATCATTCTCCCCCTGCTGCCTCCTGTATGAAATAGGGGTCAGCGCGGAGAGGTGAGTGTCAGGTAAGGCAATTCTATGACAATGGCTTATAAAGAGTACGACCAAATTAATACCTTCTTTCTGATCTTGCTGGCATGAGTTCCAGGGATGTTTACGAGGCTGAGAGATTTGGTCTCGCCTAGAGTTTACAGTATTTTTAGGCTAGAACTTGAACAGTGTAGTAGATTAACATTCTGTTGGGGATAAAAGCATCGCTTTGTGGAGCACCCAAGGAAAAGGGCAGTTGTATATATTCTTATATGAATTCTTTCCCTGCCCTCTGCTTTTGACCCTTGATTCTTTGTGTGTTACATCTCTTGCCTTATTACAACTCCCACAAATGGCAACCTCAAAATTTAGGACATTCCCAAACCCCTTCAGACTGTTCCCACCCCCATCTTCTCACTGATAAAATGCAGTGCCCTTTCCCGTCAGCCCTTTCTGTTGTAAAATAGTAATTCTAGTTCTGGCCCTACTTTGAGGGTGGCATCCACTTCTACATTTTAATGTAGTATTGTTGGGCCACCACTTGATTTCAGATGGACAAGGATGAGTTCAGGGAGACCAAGAATTTGTCATCAGCAGACCTACCCTAAAAAAAGGTTAAAGGAAGTTCTCTAAATAGAAAGGAAATGAAAAAAGAAAAATTGGAACATCAGAAGAAATTAAGAACATGGTAAGTAAAAATAGGGGCATATACAAACACTTTCCTTCTCATCTTGAGTTTTCTAAATTGTTTGATAGTTGAAGCAAAAATTTTAACACTGCCTAAGGTAATTCTAAATATACATAGAAGAAATATTTAAAACTATTGAAAAAGCTATGCAAAGTGATAAACTCAAATACTATAGATAAATCAAAATGGAATTCTAAAAAATGTTAAAGTAATACATAATGGAGGAGGAAAAAAACAAGAAAAAAAAGAACAAAGAGAAAAAGTGACAGACTTAAACTCTGACATATCAATAATTACATTAAATATAAATGCCCTAAATATACCAATTAAAAGAAAGATGTTAACAGAAGGGATACAACATGACTCAGTTGTATACTGTTTTCCAAAAACTCACTTCAAACAATATAGGCAAGCTGAAATTGTGTGGAAAAATATATATCAGGTAAACATTAATCAAAGAGAAGTAGGAGTGGATGTGTTACTATCAGATAAAGTAGATTTCAGAGCCAAGAAAACTACCAGAGACAGAGAAGGCCATAATATTATAATAAAGAGGTCACTGCATGAAGAAGATATAATATTCCTAAATGTGTGCACCAAACAACAGCAAAATATGGGAAGCAAAAAATGTAGAACTAAATGGAGAAATCACAACTGCATTTGGGGATTTCAACACACCTTTTTAAATTCAACATCACCATCGACCAATACAATCTAATTGACATTTATATAACAAGACATCCAACAGCAGCAAAATACAATTTTCAAATTCAAACAACATATATACCAAGATAGACATTACCTTGGATGGACCTAAAATTCAACAAATTTAAAAGAATTGAAATCACAGAGTAGTCTCCAACCATAGTAGAATGAAACCAGAAACCAGTAATAGATAACAGGAAAATCTCCAAACACTTGAAAGTAAACAACGTATTTCTAAATCATTCACAAGTCAAAGAAGAGGTCTCAAGGGAAATTAAAAAAATAAAATAAACTGGAAGAAATGAAAACATACCAACGTTTGTGTCATATAGCTAAAAGCAGTGCTAAAAGGGAAGTTTATAGCATTAATTGTAAACATTAAAATAGAAGAAAAATCTTCAATACTATAAGCTTTCACTTCAAACACCTAGAAAAACCCAAAGCAAGTGGAAGGAAGGAAATCAAGTTGGAGCAGAAATCAATAAATTTTAAACAGTAAAACAAAATCAATGAAGCGAGCTGGTTCTTTGGAAAGATCAGTAAAATTGGCAAACTTCTAACAAAGAGAAGAACAAATGACCAATATGGGGTATAAAATGGTGTCACTAGCCATCAAAAGGATAAGGGAATACTATAAACAAGTGTACATACATAAATTTGACAAATTAGATAAAATCGACCAGTTGTTGGAAAAAACACAATTCATCCAATATGAAGTAGATTATTTGAATAACCATATAGCTATTAAGGCCATTGAATGTATTTTATTATCTTTAAAAAAATTTTTTATTGATTTTTTTTTGAAGAGAAACAGATTGGCTGCCTTTCCTGCACGCCCCCTGGGGATCGAGTCTGCAATTCCGGCATAGGCCCTGACCAGGAATCGAACCGGGACTTTTCTGTCCATGGGACGATGCTCAATCCACTGAGCCAAACCAGCCAGGCAGGAAATTGAATTAATTTAAAAATCTTCCAAAAGAAATCTTCAGTCTCAAGTGATTTCACTGGAGATTTTACCAAATGAAGAAGAATACCAACCACCAAAGTCTTCTCCAGAAAATAGAAGAGAATACTTCCAGATTTACTTTATGATGCTACTGTTAACCTGAAACAAAACCAGATGAAGACAGTACAAACACACACACACACACACACACACTCATAGACAAATCAAAAACAACTCAGACCACCATCTTATGAATATGTACACAGAATTCCTTAAAATATTACCAAAATAGAATTTAGTAATATATATTTTTAAAAATTATACACCATGGCCAGCTAGGAATGCCAAGCTGGTTCAATATTTGAAAATCAATCAATCTAAACATATTAGACTAAAGAAGAAATGTCTAATCGTAGCAATTCACACAAAGCATGTGACAAAATTTAACACCCATTCGTGATAAAAATTCAGGAAAAATCCTACATCTAGCATTACACTTAATGGTGAAAAACTGAACGGTTTCCACTTAAGATTGGGAACAAGTCAAAGATGTCTGCTCTCACTACTACTACTCAACATAGGCTGTAAGTTCTAGCCCATGTAATAGCACAGAAAAGGAAATAAAAGGCAAGCAGGTTGGAAAGGAAGAAATAAAAGTCTCTATTTGTAGGTGACATGTTAGTCTACATAGTCGCAAGGAATGTATTTTTAAAAACTTCTAGAACTGATTAGTGAGTCCAGTGACATCACTGAATACACGATTTACATACAAAAGTCAGTTGTAGTTTCATTATAAGCAGTGAACATGTGGACACTGAAAATAAAATACTATTTAAAAAATAAAAATACTATTTTCAATCACTTAAGAAAGAAACAGGTGTAAATCTAACAAAACATGTATACGACTTGTATGTTTAAAACTACAAATGGCTGATGAAATAAAGATACATAAATGGAGAAACATGCCATGTGTTCATGGATTGAAACATTCAACATAGTAGAGATGTCATTTCTCTCCAGATTGATACACAGGTTTAATGCAATAACCATCAAAATCTCAACAAGATATTTTTGTAGATAAAGATAAGATTATTCTGCCCTGGCTGGTTTGGCTCAGTGGTTAGAGTGTTGGCCCACGGACCAACGAGTCTCAGGTTCGATTCTGGTCAAGGGCATGTACCTCAGTTCCGGTTTGATCCCAATGCTGGTCTCGGTCATGCGGGGGGCAACCAATCTATGTGTCTCACATCAATGTTTCTCTCTCTCCCACTCTGTCTGAAGATAAATGGAAAAATATCCTCAGGTGAGGATTAAAAAAAAGATAAGATTATTCTAAAATGTAGAAATGCAAACTAGAATAGCTAAGACAGTTTTGATGAAGAACAAAGTAGGAAGAGTCAGTCTACCTGAATTCAAGATACATAGCTACAGTAATCAAGACTGGGGTATTAGAAGGATAGATACACAGATCATTGGAATAGAATGGAGAACCCAGAAGCAGGCCCACAGAAAAATGGACAACTGACTTTTGTCAAAGATGCAAAAGCAATTCAATGAAGAAACGAGTTTTTTCACCAGATGGTATGGAGAAACTAGATTATTCATAGACAAAAAATGAGCCTTGACCCAAGTCTTACACCTTAAACAAAAATTAAGAATGAATCCCAGACTTACATATAAAACCTAAAATTAGAAGTCTTTTAGAAAAAAATCTTTGGGATCTAGGATTCAGGAAGAAGTTCTTAGACTTGACACCAAAAACATAATCCATAAATGGAAAAGTTGACAAATTGGATTTCATAAAAGTTGAAAATGTTTGCTTTGTGAAAGACCCTGTGGAGGATGAAACAAGTTATAGACTGAGAAAATATTTGCAAGCCACATATCTGAAAAGAAATAGTATCTAGAATATTTAAAGAATTCTCAAAACTCAGTAATAAAAAACCAAACAATCCAATTAGGAAATGGGCTAAAGACCTGAAGAGACATTTCACTGGAGAGGTTTTACAGATAAATAAGTACATGAAAAGATGTTCAACATCACCAGCCATTAGAAAATTGCAAATTAAAACCACAGTGAGATGCCACCATACATCTATCAGAATGGGTAAAATAAAAAATAGTGACAATATCATATGCTAGTCGGGTTGCAGAGAAAATGGACCACACACACGTTGTTAGTGGAGATGTAAATAGTATAGTCACTCTGGAAAAACTGGCAGTTACTTAAAAAAAAAAAAGTAAACACACAACTACCACATAGCCCACCAATTGCGCTCCTGGGCATCTATCTCAAGAGAACTGAAAATGTTCACACAAAATCCTGTATTTGACCTTTTATAGAAGTTTTATTTGTCATAGTTAAAATCGG